TCCTGAGTTTCCGTTTCGCCGGCTCCATTTCAAGCTTCGCTTGGCTGTGTCTACACTTATTAACCTCTTTTGAGCTCTGTATCTCCCCCACTTTTTCACTTGAGGAACTATATGCTTATGTATGCATGTAAGCTGGTGTGTGTGTGTGTGTGTGTGCGTGTGTTTTTGTGCATGCAAAGATTGTAGCATACTCTTATACTGAGCCAAAGGGCCGCCTTCAAGCGGAGTGCCTCAAGAGCTAAGCCAAGCTAAAGGCCGCACTTGTTTGCATTTGTATGGCTTTTAAGGCAGCACATAATTGACTAATGCCGGTTTTACATTACAAGATACACACACACACACATACAAACACACACATTACACAGGCGTACACACACAGAGAGACACACTGACTTTTAAAGCTGCTCAAGCTGATTGACAAGCCTGACGATTATGACATGCCCAGACTGGCGGTTTATGCTTACCAGAGGCTACAGCAGAACAACATTGATACCAATCGAAACTACACACATATAACACACGCACACGCACACACACACACACACATTTAGGCACACACTCAGTGCGAGAAAGCAGTCAATTTAGTCAACTTCCTGACTGATTCCGCACCATGGGCAAAATTAACACATATTACATTTTTGGTATAAAGTCAACTTTAATAAGCGACAGCAAGAATGATTCGCATTTTAACATTATTCGCCCAAAATGTTAACATAAGCTGTTAAGCAGAGCACATAAAAATTCATATTTCTGAGCAGCTTACATTTTTGCAGTCGAAATTCTTGTCATTTTGTACGTAGAAAATAATGTTAAGCAATTGAAAATCTTCTTTTGAAGTACACCAAATTTTAATATGGCATCAATTAATATCGATGTATATTTATTGATACTTTTTGAGAACTTTTATCTGTACATTCTTTGCTTTACATGAGCTCTAGTTGTCACTCCAAGCGACCTTCCCTGTTAAAGAAAACCAAAAAAAAAAGTACTAGTACTAAGAGGACTTCTTAAAAAAAAAAAGTTTGCCAAAATAAATATAAATGTTGCCCATAGTCCAGCAAGGCATCAAAGTGTCACATACATTTGGGAGAATCTCTGGCAAGTTACTCACATTTCTGGTTTGTCAATAAAGAGATGGCGCACAGCAAATGACGATCAAATCCCTGCTGCTGCTGCTGCCATATGACATGTTTGATAAATTGCTTGATTAATGGACGCGTGTGCGATGCGCAAATATAGTTTAAGGACTTTGGCAGGCAACTTTTGGACAGGCGCTTACAATATCAATGAGTAAACAGAGCCGCGAGCCAAACAGCCCGGCCAGGACAGGCTGGATGCAGAAATACTTCATATGCGTTCATCACATTAAAAATAATTTTGTGCGCGCCGTTAGTCCGTATTATCAAACTAATGTCCTGCCACACCCGCAGAGCCTCCAACGCGAAACGTCAGCTGTGCTGAGTTCTTCATAAATCAAAGAGGACGCCCCACACACACACACACACGCACACACACCCACACACTTGCTCTCTCACACACACACATTTCCGGGGCGCTCATTAAAAAATGAACGCCATTTGCCAAAGGAACAAAAATTGCATGTCCTCGCTTAAATATGCATATGCATGTGCAAGTGGGTTGTCGAGCAAAAAGCATGTGGCGCTCTATGTGCATATGTTGCAAGTGCTGTGGCAAACTCCACTCGAAAAAAAAACTAACACGTCATAAATCTTGCACAAGTATCCTTAAGCGTTCCTTTTTCGCCACAAAAAGTCATCACATGGCAGCAAAATGAAGAACATGCATTTCCCGAGCTGACCAACATTTATATACCCTATAAAAGAGCTAGCTGCTACGGCATGTTACTGACATTGTAGAGTATACTACAGTCGAGTCGATTGACTTGAAGCTTAAAGATAAATAAAACAAAGCTTTGCTAAGCTCTGACAGCAAAGCTAAACCATAAAACTAAACTAAGTTTAACATGCGCCAGAAACATGCAACAAAAACTAAGAAGATTTACTAGAAAGAGTGGGATTAAAATTTTAAATACATCCCAGACCTCTCTTGCATAGTTAGGGTATACAAAAAATGAGAAGAAATCTTAGTCTGAATTATAAAGTGTAAGTTTGCGGCTTATTTTTATACCCTGAACCCATTAAAAATGGGTAAAAGTGGTATTATGTATTTGTGTAAATGTATGTAACAGGCAGAAGAAAGCAACTCCGACCCCATAAAGTATATATATTCTTGATCAGCATCAACAGCCGAGTCGATCTAGCCATGTCCGTCTGACTGTCCGTATGTATGAACGCAAGGATCTCAGAACCTATAAGAGCTAGAGAAAGCTGAAGGTCCTCCTAGTACCCGCGCAGATCGAGTTTGTTTCCGATATTCGATAACTTGCCCCGTTTCCAAGTAATCGATCAAAATCGATATCGAAATCCTGTTTTTTGAGCAATTTTGGTAAATAATAAGAGCTAAAATCACCAAACTTGACATGTAGCTTCTAGAATAGTATATATATATCAAGTATTTTTCATTTTATACCTGTCGCCTGTTGGAAGAAGAGGGTTCAGGGTATCCCCTAGTCAGGAGCTCCCGACTAGAACCTCTTACTTGCTTTTATTATATTTTTATTCCATATGTAGTTGTATAAAGGCCTTGAAATAGCTGAACGTGCGGCCTGGACGCACATAAATATGCAAAACTATGCTTATCTGTTTGCTTAACTACAGCCTGACACATGCAACGAGACGAGAAATGTTTTGCCAGCATGCACAGCGTGTCCTCATGTTATTATCCCAGTAGACACTCTTCCACTCGCGCTCTCTCTCTCCCTCTGCTGCAGCTGCTAGAGAAGTTTTTTGGCCAAAAAAAAAAAGAAACTGTTGCCATTAGAAATCAAATGTTGGAATCCCGAAAGCAACTTGAAGCAGCAGCAGAATTCGGCACGCGCGTCGTTCTTTGAGCGTGTGTTTTAGTTTTTTTTTTTGATGGGCGGGAAAATGTTGCAAAAGTTGTACGAGTATTTCCTTATAGAGCTCATGACTCAGGCATAACTATTACTTCTCGACAACAGCAACTGCAACGGACAAACACACGTAATCAGCCAAAGAGAGCAACAGTTGTGCATTCACGCAACTAGTTCAAAAGTCCATTTTAACTTTTTAAATTAGTTCAGCAGCAGCAGGTAACTTTGCAGAATAGCTCTGTCGGCTGTAAAGCCTTTAAAATTGCGCACGCTTACGATTAAATGTTTGTCATTAAATTGAGACACATAACATCGAACCTTCAACTGCATATTCAGATGATTAACATAAGTGCCACGGCTACGCCCACACAGGTTTGCCGCTGGGTGCCGCCTCCCTCCCTCGTCTCGATGAGACTTCCTTTTTATTTTATTTTTTTTTTGTTTGTTTGTTTATTGTATCGAATCAAAAATAGCATACATTTTTATTACAACACAGTTGGCTTAGGTGTTATTACGGTGGGGTCCTCAGGCTTGATCGTGGACAAACGTCAAAGGCGGCTTTTTGAGTAAGGCTGCATCGTCACGTAGGTAGTCGGGGGACTCTGGGGCGTCTCCTATCTCGTGGTTGGAGGAGGTCCTTGAACGATCTTCTCTTGAGTCTCCTGACTACACACCTCCCAGCGAGGTCACTTGCTACCCGGCTGCAGTGTCGCTGCAAGCGTTCGTTGTACCGGTTGGCGACTGCTCCGACTTGGCTGTCTATGGCCTCCATTTTGAGGTCTCTGTGCAAGGTAGAATTTCTGACGTACCAGTCAGCACCCGTAATTCGGCGCAAGGCCAAGTTTTAGAGTGTCTGAATCCGTCTTCGATTTGTCCGAGATGCAATGCCCCAAACCTGAATACCGTATCCCCAAGTTGGTGCCACCACGACGTTGTAGACTGCCCGTTTGCAGCGAAGTGGCAATGGGCTGTTGGGGTTTAGTAGCCAGTTGGCCTTGGCCATCTTATAGCGGCACTGCTTAAGAACACCGTCGATGTGCGCCCGAAAACTAAGCCTCTTATCCAGTACAATTCCAAGATACTTGGCGCTTCTGCCAGGGTGAAGGGGGCTACCGTCTATCCAGACTGCTGGAGCCTTGCCACGCCTCAGTGTATGGTTGACCGCCTGGCACTTCGAGGCATTGAGCTTGATGCTCCATCTGCGTGTCCAGCTCTCAAGCAAGTGGATGTAGTGGGCTGAGTAAAATATGGCCACGTCATCGGCAAATGTGGCCATCAAGTATTTGCCTGGGGTGGCAAACTCGTGTAGTTCATCCGGAGTGGGGATGTCTGCCGTGTACAAGTTGTAGAGAAAGGGGCCCAGTACGCTGCCTTGGGGGACACCCGCCTTCATTTTGCGGGCAGGAGAGATTGCTGCTCGAACTTTGACTTCGAACTTTCGCTCCATTAGATAAGAGCGCAGAAGTAGAAAGAAGGGGGAAGGAGCGGGAAGACTCATCTTGATATTCAGGAGCAATCCATCAATCCAGACTCGGTCGAAGGCCTGCTTAACGTCTACAAAGACTCCATAGCAGTAGTCTTTGTCGTCGCGAGCCTTAAGAGATGAGACTTCCGCTGTTCATCTTCCGCTGCTACTGATTTTATTGCGCTATTTTCTGCACTTCACTTTTTTTGTTATGAACTCAGTTAGCAACAGTGAATTATTGTGAGCTTTACTTTTTCCGTCTGTTTATTTTAGTCTTAGCAACAACAACATTCAGCCCGGCCCTCCCCATTTCTCGTAAATGCAATTTGCTGCATAATCAAGTAAACTTGGCCCGTAAGCTGTTTATGAAAATTCTATAGAAAATAACAAAATTGTTGAAATCTTTAGACTGATGCGCCCTTAGTCGTTCTTATTTATAGCTCTTACTCTTATCATAGCATTTTTTATCTCATTAGACATTAGCCTGCATTATATGTGTATGTAATATGCCATCATTATAATCGCATTTCTTTTTGCATCTCGCTCTCTTGTCTTTTGCAGGTTAGTATCTTTTGATAAGCCCAATTCCACAGCAGCTCGTATGGGGTAAGCACTTGAAAACTTTTTAAATGGGTTACGGGACAATTATTTCGAAGCAAAAAAAAAAAAAGAAGAAAATAATACAAAATAATTAAGCCCTCAGCTGGATATATTTAAGCGCATTAGTGTTTACTTTCATATGCGCTCTCGCTCTAATCTCCAATGCCTTCTCACTCTTTTAAATGCTCATATGTTATGGTGAATAGAAACTGTTTCAACTGCTTCCAAAGGCTACCAAAGAAAACGAATATTAAAAACAAAAACCAACGCTGGCAACGTTTCGTAAACGTTACGTATTTAAGATTATTTTTCATTTAATTTTCATAATGCTCTGTGGCAAAAGTTGCGCCTGTGCCAAGAGTTTTCATTTTCCTTTGTGTTTTTCCTGCTTTCACCTTCTCAACAAAATGCATTTAAATTTATAAATTTATCAAATCAACAATAAAAACAAAACAAAATTTGCTATTTTTGTTTTCCTCTCGTTATCCCAAAAAAAAAACGAAATTTTGTTATATGAACTTTGACTGCTTTAAAAAAATACGTGCAGGCATAAACTTTGGCTTTTTAAATTTTATGCACTTAATGCGGAAAAGTAACGTAAAACTTCTGATACTTGAATTTAAGCTTTTGGATATTTTTCGCTTTTTTTTTTTTTTTTGGCAGCTCATGCGGTTTTATAATTGGCATATAAACGAGTTCGTGAGCTTCAAGGCACGAGTTGAAAGTAAAAAATGCACTGCTGAGTTTGGCTTGAGTTCAAGTAGTTAGTTGGATCGTTAGGGGCTTTTATTTTACTTATAGCCAATCATCAAAATGAGTTGCGAATAAAAACTAAAATATGAGAAATTATCTGTAAACAAATATGAAGGTATACTTAGCCTTAAGATTTACTTTTTCCGAACTTATTAATCTCAGCGACATCAGTTCACCCTCCAAATGTTATTTTTATCTTTATATCTAACTTTCCGTCTGTTAATTTCTGTCTATCTCAGAAAGTTTAGCATTCAGAAATAGCAAATATTTTCGGCAGATTCTGTGTAACAATTAAAGATACATTTTGTATAAAATTTAAAAATGCTTGCCCGCTTGAATTTCGATTTACAGGCAGCGCAAATTATTTTCAATTACTCGTATAAATATTTAATTGGTTTATCACAACAATTGAATAACTATTTGGCATCAGCAATCATACAATTACCTTAAACCATTAAGCGACAATAAAAATTGCTTTTAAAAAAAATACAATTTGCATACCACAAAAATAAAAGGAATAAATAAAAATATACTTTTGCTGAAATTGCTTAATTTTCGTCCTGATTGTGTGCGTTTATGTGTGTGTGTGTGGCATGTGTGTGTGTGTGGCATGTGTGTGCGTGTGCTGAAATTAAATACACACTCATGCGTCGCAATTTAAGTAAATAAATGCAAGCCAGTGAAAGAAAGAATAAAACTATGCGACAGAAATGCCAACAAATGGCAAAAATTGCGGTAGAGCATTTTTGGTCCCAAAGAGAATCCCAAGCAAAATCAACTGCGCCGAAACTGGGGAGCCTGTGGCACTGGCACTGAGGCCAACATGGACGCATGGACACATGGACGCATGGACACATGGACACATGGCATATGCAACTTGCAGTGTTTGCCATGTGGGTTGCTGGAGGTGGCTGTTCCTGGTGTTGGCGAGTGGTTACGATTTGATGGCTCTGGATGGCCAAAAGCGAATGTCATTGTTAAAAGTTGTTGGCTTGCATACGGCTTGAAGCTCGGCCGATTACAGGGATTGGGATCGCAAAAAATCATATTGCTTGTGCAATGAATTATAATGTAGAGCACTTCAATTTGTATTGTGGCATGTGTGTGTGTGTGTGTGTGTGTGCAGATTCTTTTCTCTTGCTTCCTTTATGCATTTGCATGAAACTCGTTTAAATCAAATGTGTGTATGTATGTGTCATGTGGCTGTGTCCCGTATTTGAGGAAGAGAGAACGAGTTGAACGATATTCTGTTTGAATTTTTATAGATATTTTGCCTGTTAGTTTAACTGAAATGGATTAAACAAGTCCAAAATTTAATTTGAACAACAAATTTTCAGTAATAAAGTTTATTATTACGTGTTTTTAGTTCAATTAGTTCATGTTCCGCGAAGCAGTATATTAGAAAATAGCTGTGAAAGAGATTTCAGGTGGTTTCTGCTGAGAAAAAAAACTTTTAGCTCTAAAAGTTATATTCGGATTCCACGTAGAGCTTTGAAATGTACTCCCAAACTAATATATCTGCCACATACAGTTAATAATTGCTCGTTTGCACTAGTTCCGAGAATTATTATTATGAAAATACCTATTGAAAAAGTTAAACATTGTTCATATGTGAATAATAGAAAATTATGATAGCACGAGTTTAATTTCAAGCTCATACGCTTGATGTTAATTAATTAATGGGGAGCAGATGTTTTTCGCTCAGTTGCACAAGTTCTAAGAACTTTAAACAAGAAAATACCTTTTGCAAAAATTCCAATTGTTTTATATGAGCAAAATATATTACTATAGTTTATTATATAAATTTATTATACTGTAATTTATTTCGCGCCTAATTATATTCTAAGAAAAACGTACCTTTGGACAAGTAATTTACTTTGATAAAAGAAATGGCTCAGATTTATTCGGCAAGCTGAACTACTTTTGGAATTGGCTCATATCTATAGCTTAAGCACAATTATAAAACAATCTGAACCTAATTAAAAGTCCTTAATTATAAATGCCTAAGTACCTTCAAAAAATTCTTGAGAAACTAATTTCGTTGCTCAACACAAATTGGAACCGTTTGCTCGTTTGCAACTCGCTCACAACCAATTGCCATAAATGAAAGCTGTCACGAAACATGCCACGTTGCACATGGCGTATGCGCATTTTATTTGCCTAACCTCATTAAAAGCACAATACACACACACACACACACAAAAATATAAAAGGGCGCTCATAAACTTAATTAAATAACGTAAACGCAAGGCGCAATGCAGTGCTGATTGGCCAAATAGCTAAGCAAAGGCTAAGCCTATGGCCTAACTTGAGGCGTTGCCAGATTGCCTTAAAGTCAACTTTTTAATGGGCAACATTTGAGGCCGGCAAGGCTAATTAAAATGCCAAACATGGAAGGGGGCGGGTAACGGAAACGGAAGCAGGTTCGGGAACGGGTAGCTTGATGTTGATTTCTCGAGTTGACTTTGTTAAGAGCTGAGTTTTTCAATCAACTTTTATGCACACACACACACACACACACGCACACGCACATGCTTGCTAATTTATTTAGCAATTGGCACGTAAAGGGTTGATTGTCTGCCAGTCAGCAGAAAAACCACTTGCATATTGGGCCCCTTAAGCATATAGTATGTATCGATTGTGCATAACTAGCACATGCTTAACGTACTCTGACCCCATCAAGCGCCCAAGCCCAACCCTCAAGCCGTTCAATACACCTCCCTTTTTGTTTCTAGTCACTTTGCTTCACACTTTACTTTAACGCCTCTCTGTTACGCTCTTGCATGTTTGCTTGTTTGTTTTGGACTGCTGCTGCTGCTGCTGCTGCGGGCTGCGGGTCACAGCTCATTAGGACTGGCCTAAACCGAAGCCAAACAAAAAAAAATAAATAAAATAAATAACAAAAATTCAAAGAGCCCGACAAATGTCAAGGGCTTAGACCTGCCTTCGGATTATTTAAATATAAATTAAAAATCACTCATACGCACCATTGCCACAGTTGGGAGCAGCAATAGCAGCAGCAGCAGCAGCAGCAGCAGCAGCAGCAGCAGCTGTGGTCTGCACTTGGCAACTGCGAGCGCTTTATATAAATAAATTCAGCTTGCAACATATGCTAAAGGAACTCTAGAGTTATATATATTCCTATATATGTATATAAATCAATTATAGCTATGAAGCCTGCCAAACCAAAACCAATTTTCTAACAATTTCCAAACAGCTTGAAACAATAAATTTTGTTGGCCGTGGTGCACACTCTACTCGGTGTGTGTGTCTTTGTGTGTGTTCACTGCATATATTGACTTTTAATTTGTCTGTCACAGCTAAAGGTAAATGTTGTCCACAGCAGCTGCCACAAGCTATTTTATGCTTGTTATTGGTCCATAGAGTATCCTTATTTTATTACGCTCGCTGGATAACAAACTAGTTGCCAGTTAGTCGTTGCTTTTCGCTCTCTTTAACCATTTTTCAACTCACATCGTGTCATTTTATTCATTGGCAATTGACTTGATTATTCAATTAGCTTCAAATACAAATTACTTGATGTGAATGGGCAATGGATTCTTATCAGCTGAATAACTCAACTTGGCTTAGATCTTTTGTAGCAGCTTTTAAAAATCTAGACTATTTTGAGGATCTCTATATTGCAACCGCTGCCTGTTTCGTATATAAATATTTAAAGCCCAAGCTCTTACCTTACCCATCCGTAAACTAACTATATTGCCACTAATAAACTTATTGGAAACGTCTTTCCTCGAATTCATTAGGACGCACAGACTTATTTACCCTGTCACTAGGATAATGCGAATTTAAAAGCTAGATTTCTAGGAAAATACGCTTCAATTTTGTAATCATGTTTCTGGGAAAGTTGCACGCTAAATTCGCAGCTCAATTTCTTGTGATTTCCTTAATTTCCGGTAAATTCGCCCCCTTTCCAACTTCTGGCGAATTGACCTTCGTATTTCCCACGGAACGTATTTCCCTTTGATTTTTTCATTTACGTCATTTGCATTGAACAAGCATTTTTCGTTGCTTCTGCCAAGCACGGAAAGAAGAAAACAGTTCAATAATTTGCAGCTTTGTGAGTACCTTTTGTCAAACGGACTATATCAAATCGGCATTCTAGTTTCTACAAGTCATTCTCTGCTTCAAACATTTGCCAATTGGCAAACAAAATCCACATAAATCAGATTAAAAGCCAAAGAAAACTGTTTTTCTTTCTTTCTTGTTTTTTTATTTTTATTTTGGAAATCGAACCTGCAAGCCCTGCAATCCCCTGGTGCTCTTTAAATTTGTTCCCTTGGCCGCTTTACATCGTCAGCGTCTGATTCTACCCTCTCTCTCTCCCTCTTTCTCTCTCTCTCTCTCTCTGTTTCTCTTGCCCGCTACTTGTCACTCTATACCTGCGCTGGCTCTGGCACAAACACGTAATCGAATAATCCAATTTGTTTGCGCAAAAACTGAAACTTTTTCGTCGTAGGGCTTCTCAATTGACGTCGTTCAGCTTCAGCTAGTTCTCCTCCCTCGACCTCCTCCTTTCCATGCCTGCCCCTCACCTTTGCCAAGCAATTATTTAAGTGTCTGCGTGAACCCCGCCGAGTCTTACATTTGATATTAGGCACAAACGATTGACTATTTTATTGAATTTATATATTCTATTTTTTTGTTTAACTGATGTAATTGCTGGCTTTTGGTTTGTTTATCAGTTAAAGTGTCCTGTAAATTCCTGACTAAACTCTTTCAAAGCTTGCATTTTCTACTCCATTTTGGCCTTATAATTAACAAATCGTCCTTTTCGAGCTATACCACACCACCTGCAGCGTCACCTTTCAACCGCTTCAATGGACATCCTGCTGTTGCATTGGCCAACAGTTGTCCACATTTTGCTGTTAGTTTTTGCCTATTTGCCAAGCGTGTTCACACATGCTACGCGCTGCCCACACACCATCAAACGCACACACACACATCGAGCTCATATACACACCTTTGCCAGCATTTTGTGTAACTTGTGTTGCAATGTGTTTCATTGGTTTTTATGCCCTGTACTTTTCGCAAGTGGGTAAATGTATACAATTATCTCTATGTAGAAAATAGTTTGCCCCTAATGACTGAAGGAAGTTGTAATTTTTAATTGTAATTACCTTAGGTAATGCGGAAAACGGTTATATGAAACCTTTTCGTTCACCACAAAATTGTCTTTGAAGAACTTGCAAAAAACACGCCTCCCCTATGGAAATGGGCGTTAGATATTTGGCGAATAATGTTTCGGGCTCAAACTAATATCCACGAATCTTTATGAATATACTTTTCCCATCAAACTGGTAAGAGGGTATTTTCTAGTCGAGCATTCTTAACACCCTTTTTTTTCTGTGTTTGCTGCATGTCAACAAACAAGCTGCAACGTTTACCACGTTTCTCCTCTCGGCTGTCCACATCGCTTTCTTTTTGTCGATGGCATTGACAGTTGTGCTCTTTGAGCTTGTTGCTGCTAGGCTCAAGGTAGCACTCAAAGGCTATTGAGAAATGTAATCCTTATGTTTATGATATACCAAGACAGAGGTTGATATGTGCACGGAGAGCTAGAGGTAGGGAGAACTAGCGTAAGTGCATCCAAAGCCGACAAAGCGCCAGCAAGTTGCATGCAACAAACTGAAATGTGGCAGCACAGTGCGTGCGCCGGAAGCCATTGCGGGTTAAGCACGCACCACCAGCAACCAGCAGGAAGCACCACTGACAGTCTAGGAAGGAACCCAGAGAAAGGGGGCGCGTGCGTGGCTGGCAACGGAAACGCGCGACGCGACACTTTATGACAGGTTGTGACTGCGCTGGTAAACCAAAAAAAAAAAAAAAAAAAGACTAGAAGAAGACACCAACTACTTGTGCGGCAAGAGTGGGAAAGGCAAGGGGAGGTCGTAGGGTTGGTTGGTTTCAGCCTGTCGGGAATTAGGAATGCATTGTCTGAGCACAGTTCAGTGCAGTTTTGTAGTTCATTTCTCAGTTTGCTCAGTGCACAGTTCTCTACAATTGCAAGTACCTAAATCCACTCTTTGGCTCGAGCGCGAGTTGGGTGCGGGGCGTGGGGCGCAGGGCGGGTGTGCAGCACACTTGAAGGGCTTCCGACTGAGGACTGTGTCTTTTTTCAGCCTGGCCCAAACCAACCCTTTGGCCCTCAACATCTTGGCCAACAAATTAGCGCATGCATTTTTTTGTTGTTGTTATCTGCGAGCACATTCAGTTTGGTTTGCGGCGTACAACCGGCAACAGTGACGGGTTTTTCCACGGGCTGCCACAATTTTGTTCTTGCCACTTGCCACTTGCCACTTGCCACTTGCAACATCTACAACAATACAGACTGCAATTTATGTCTTGGCAAAGTGAAAATTTTGTTGCCAAAACTTGCACACGCAAATTGAGTTTCTTTCACAACTAACTTTGTGGCTGTGCACGAGTGTGTGCGTGTGTATGTGCGTGTGTGTGTGTGTGCCAGTGTCAAAAGACCGCCTTGACTTGTCGTGACAATAGCAAACAGCTGACAAAACATGAACTACTTAGAATCCATGCTGTGGTAAGCAAATTTAAAAATAAAACTCTTCTTTTATCCACGGCTAACAACTAAATCCAATTACGTAACCTAATTGTGTACTATATGAAAACATTTGTTGAATTTGCTACCATTTATAGAATTATATTTTTTAAAATTAATTCTGAACAATTTACTAACCATAAATTAAAAAATTGACATAGGCATAATAGAAATCGCCTTTTCAAAGCTTTGGACAAATTTTGCATATACTAATTTTACAGCCCATATTTAAGTTAATTTAATTTGTTAATTAATTATTTATTTAAGCATAGCAAAAATATGCGCATTTTGAATTTGTAAAAAATATACCAAAGCAACAACATTTTATTTAAGCACTTAATTCTGGCAGCCGCACAAAAGTTATCCCATAAATAGAGCCCAAAAGCAGCGAGGCCTTGCTCCTCAGCCATTCCCTGTAACTGTCCAACTGCGTGCTTAGAGAAACTCCATTATGACAATTTTCAAGTTCCGAACTCAGCTTGGGGCTTGGGGATAGAAGCGCCTCAAGCGCATGCTAAAAAAATAAAGGAAAACTTTTGCGACTTTATGAAAAATAATTTATATGCAATTTGTTGCACGTTACGCTCACTGCCGCTGACCTCAAAAACTGTGCCACATTCTAATCTAAAAGCAGACGACAGCTTTTTGTTTTTATATATCTTTTTTATATACACAAAATATTTTCAACAAATATTTTACTTTGCTCAGGGGAGAAATTAGGAGAAAGCAGAGTCCTTCAGCTAAAGCCGCATTAAAATGTGTTGCCTACATTTCGGAGCTGACAACAACAAAATATTAAAGCAACCGATTTTTTTTTTTTGTTCGTTCGCTTTGGCAAATATTTGCGCACGTCATTTCTCATTGCCCACGTTTCTATTGGGTTTGCTCTCCAATTGCCAGGGCTCAAATGATGTGGAAGGAAATCACATTAATGGCAGCCGTGCGCCATTTTTTTTTTTTTTTTTTTTGGCAGACCCCAAAAAGTATTTACAACATTTTGGCCGCCGAGATATGTAGACACACATACACACGGACAGACGGGGCCAATTAAAACGTAATGCGTGGCAGTGCCAAGTCGTTAACTTGGCCAACGTGCAACGCCGCCATCTTTAATCTATGCGTCATGCGCCTACAAGTATGCAGCATGCAAAATGCATGCAGCAAAGTGTCGGTAAAACAAACAGGCGGTTAGTTGCGTCAGGCTTCTTTTAATACCCTAAACATATTAGAGCTAGGCAAAAATTGGACTTATTTCAGTTGTGTATAAGGCTAGCAAAAAATTTGATCTAACTCTCAGAATCTTTAAGAGCCAGAGCTAGCTATTTTGGTATAATAATAATAATCGAATAGCCTAAATTAAATTAATTTCAGACAAATATATGATGTACGCATTTTACAGTGTACATTCAAGTCGTCCTCGCTCATTTGAAGTCAACTTGTTAGCATTCGAGCATCCTAACCGCTTGCACACATTGCACTCTTTTGTCTTCTATCAAATATGTAACAGTATATATGAGTGTGTGTGTGTGTGTGTTTGTGTGTAATTTATGTAGGTCTCGCGCCAAAAAGCAGGCTACAAATTACACAGAATCTCATAATTTGCGGCTGCCTGACTCTGACGGCTACGCCAGTTGTCCGTTGCGCTCTGTCTCAGTGTATGTGTGGGTGTGTGTGTGTGTGTCTTTGTTGTACTTCAGTGACAGTTTCTGCCAGAAAATTTTAGACAATCGACCTTTAATTTTAGCTCAGATGCAAAAGTTGTACTTAAACACTTCGTTTTGTTACTGTGATAGTTGGCAAGCACTTTAACATGAAGTCGAATTAATTAGCGCCTCTTGTTAACTGAGCTCCTTGAAGTTCAGCAAGCAGTAGAAAACTAAGCAAAGCAGCTCAAATTTACAGTGCAGTTTGCACGTACTAGAGCAACGATTACAGTTTATAAATATTATTTAGCTTGAGGATAAATATGCATTTTTTTATAAACTTTGTTTCTATTAAAAAATTTCAATCTATATAAAGCAGGCACAGGAACGACTGGGTTTTGTTATTTTAGTAAACGAAATTCTGATGATTTGTTGACAGCAGAGTTAAGAAAACTTTAAGAAATGGAAAAGAAACGAAAATTAAATGAGTTGCAAAAAGAAAACGTATTGATAAATAAAGTCGATATGACCGAATTTCTGTTTTACATTGAAGTTAAAAATGCCACGATTTAAAGGTAAATCATAGTAGGTCAGGTTGAACAAGGGCTCAGGCTAGCGTGCACTGAAATTGCAATCACATTCTTCTAGAGCTATGTAAAATTGATTTAAAATTTATATTTAATATTTGAAAACATGCAAATCTGTGCAATTACTTAATTAACTGTGGCATGCTCGCTCTTAGGGTTTATCGGATATGTTTGGTAATATTTTTTTATATTCATACAAAAATGGTAGCGAAAACTACTTTGCCTGGCTTTTTGGCTTTTCACATTTTCACATGCTCGTTGCAAGTTGTGTGTGTGTTTTTTTTCTCTGCCTGTAACTGGCATGAAAAGCATTTTACACATGGCAGCATTTTTTAATTTTGCAGCGCAGCTTTTAGAAATACACGCGCATGCACACACACACACACACACACACACATGCACTCGCACACACAAATGCACTTACTAATTAGAAATAAAAATGCGCGCTACACATTTGCTCATTACGCTGTTTGTGTTGTTGTATTTATTGTTGTTGTGCTGGTTGCTGCTGGTTGCTTTGCTTTGCTTTTTTTTTTCACATTTTTAATGCCATTTCCCACACTGAATGGTGCTCCACTATAATGCTGCGCCCATATCGTACGGCGCCTTCGCCTGGGTCTCAAAATAATAAACCCCCATACGCTGTGCCAGCTGCTCCATTGATAACTCGCCCAAATCGCCGCCCATGTGCAGCCGTTGGCCCGTGGGCTGTGGACAGCGCTTGTAGCGCGTCAACTGCTGCCATTCAGTGGGCTGACAGCCCTTGGCCTCGAAGGCCATCGTCTCCAGGCTCTCCTTGAAGAGGGCAAAGGCACGCCAATGGCTGCACTCGTGCCAGAAGCAGCCCGGCTGCTGGCTGCCCCAGTTGGCATAGAAGTCCACATGGCCCAGTGGACGATCAAATCCATAGCTGCCCACGCTCGTGTGCAATACCTCCACATAGTCCGCATCGCTGCGACTCAGTCGCTCCTTCTCCTGGGCATAGCGAAAGAAAGGCAAAGCTGGGTCCAGGGCGCGTATCACACGCACGCGGCCCGTCTGCAAATGTTTTGAGGCCAGGCCAGCCACATGGGCGCCCATGCTGAAGCCAATCAACTGCAGATCCTCAAACCGCATGCCCGCCTCCACGTGCAGAAAGTCCAGAAACTTGGCCAGCACCTGACCCACAGGCTTCACCCTATAGCTGGCCGTTATATAGTCGGCAATGGCGCCACGGCCCCAGTCCACGGTGAAAATATTGTAGTTGCCGTCGCCGAGGGTCATGTAGGCGGGCACCAAATAGCTGTACACATTGGCATGTGCATTGCCCAGCCAGCCGTGTATTATGATGCTGTGAGTAGGAAGAAGCAGAGAGAAGTTGATATACATTATATATAATTCAATTTGCATTTAATGGGAGAATTTTGTACTTTAAGAAACCGAATCTAAATAATGAAATTCATGTTAGAAAAGAATATTCCAATAGATAACGGATTCAATTATGGTTAATAATTGTTGAATATAACGCGTAGAATATGATATATCTGAAATATATTTTGCAGTTGAAGAAAATGGTTAGCTGATTGATGGCCATATAGAAATACATCGAAACCTCATATTTATAGAGAAAAGAAAGAGATATATAAAGAGAAATATCTGATGAATCTTTATGGGTGCTACAAAGTGTAAAAGTTCTTAAGGAATGTCTATTTGTCTATGAGCATTTTAATATATAGCTGTAGCTAGAAGAGGTGGTACGTGACCACCGCTCCATGGGGAGTACTTGCGAATTCAAAGCAATTTAGCACTTAAAAGCGCTGAGCAAAATTGTGCAACAAACATTTCCTGCTGAATCATTCATAACTCACCGCGTGGGTTGGAATGGATTGAAGCGCGATTGTCGCAGGGAGGCGGCATCATAGAGGCGCACCGTTTGCGTGGTGGTCATCTCCATGGAAGTATCCTTACCGTCATCGTCGTTATTCGCATTCAGGCCAAATGCGGCGCTCAGCGTGTTGCCAACGACCTGCTGCAACAGTCGATTGCCGCTCGATGGCGGCGGCGGTTTATTTGTGCCACGCCCATTGCTCGAGTGCAGCTGAAAGTATGTCTGCCGTTCGGCATTGTACAGTAAATTGTAGTCCTGTAATCGCAATAGTTGCTCGTCGCCAACGTTGCCCGCATTGTTGCTGTTGTTGCCAGAATTATGCCTTTCCGATATTGGCAGCGAGTCGGGGCTCATTAGGCCCCCGCTGTCACTGCCGATGTCCTGATTTGATGTCCTTTCCATTTGTGTATCAGGCCTGTCCTTGTTCTGGTCATTTCCATGGGGCTGCAGTTGTTTCGCCTCGTCCTCGTCCTCATCTTCTTCTTCTTCTGTTGTTGCCCTCATCATGGCACTTTCCACTTCATTTGTCACTTTAACTTGCACTGCGGGTATTTGCCGCACCTCCTCCTGCAGCCCGAGCTCATCCTCACCCACCAACACCCGCAATTGATTGTTGTCTGCATCGACCTGCTGTGCACTGTAATCAGCATACGAGTAGTTGAAATCCTCAATCCTCCTATCGTATACATTCCTAATTCTGCCCATAGATTTTGCCCCGTGCAGCTTGGCTGCAGTGTGCCACAAACAAACTGGCAAAATGAAAGAGTGCATTAGACGAAACTGGAGCAATTTTCATAGACGCACAGAGACTACATCTGCATCTCCTGATCCAAGATAATCACCTGACTGACAAATAAACAACAATCCAAGCAGCTGCATTTTGAGTATTTTTTGCGAACTTGTTGAAATACCTTTTGCGCACTTCACATACTCAATTATTTTAGTCACTTTTTTTTTAGCGCTTAAGCACCTTAAGACCAGCTAACTGCACGCCCGAACTCGCATCTACAACTGACTGAAAACATTTTTTTCTGAGCTCTCAGTCATAATTTACTGGAAGAATTTTTATTTGTGCTCTTTGCCAAACAAAAACAAAAATAAAACATTATTAATATGCAGCATTTCACACTTTTTACTTTAGTTGCAGGCATCTTTTTCATTCGTTTTTATACCCTAACAGAGGGTTACATAGTTTTGTGAACAAAGATGACATAGCTTCGGTCTCTCATATTTATGTTTATATATTTAATTATATATATCAAGGATTACTTCTTTTGTTGCAATATTTTGTTAGCGATGTTTTTTCCTGACTTGGAAAGTTCAAGATCTTTACATTTGTGCAAAATTTAACTAACTTCACATTGTTAATTGATTAATTAATCAACTTTTTAAGATATCTTGACCACTCAGCAATTGCTCGCACACCAGCAAAGTCCAAAGTCCACATCTACAAGATTTCTGCCAGGGTATTCGAGCTTCGGCTTTACAAAAGTCAAACGTACTCTCTTATTGCGCCCAACAAGCGCTTATTATTGATGACTTCTCCCGAAAAAAGAAATAAATAAATAAAACAAAATACCGTTCACTCTCACCCGCCTCATTAGCTGTTAATCTGTTGAGTCAACAAAAGTTCAGTCTCCACATGCAATGTGCCACTGACCAAGTTTGGTTTTTGGCCTCCAGTACTTAGCACATTTTGGACATATATAGTTTTGGGATAGGTCAACGTACGAACTGTCTGCTAACCAGCTGTCAAAGCTTTCTAGTTGGTTTGCATTGGAAGTAAATAATGTATTGAAAAACTAATCCATTAATACATTTTTAACTAACTTTTAGCCGAAAAGAACATTAATTGTCAAATATCTATTTGAATTAGCCTCACTTATGAACTGAAAGTATTATCTGGCAATTTTCGAGCTCGGAAAATTTATATTGTTGCATTTTCACAACACAAAAATCATTTCAAGAATTTGGAAAAAGAAAATAAAACAAAATTGAAGAATAGACAATAAAAATTAATTACAAATGATATATAAAAATTAAAACAACATTTTTGATTTATGTTTAATTATTTTGTTCTGTTTGAATATGTCTCACATTGTGGTGTTATATGTTTTTATGTATGTACATATTGCTTAAAAATATATATATATTCTTTTTAGTATTACATGTCAAAACACGAACTTGTCATAAAAAATATCAAAGCCTCATGCAGCAATCTCTTGTCATTTGGCCATATACTTGTTTAACAAACCATTTTGAGGTTTATGTATAAAATGTATTCTAATCAATCTTAATAAATTCTTTGATTATGTTACAGGTAAGTTCACACACAACATGTCGGCATGCGATGGCAAAAAAAGGAAAGGAAAAGTAAAAAACAAAAAAAAGAAGAAACAATATTAAAAGCTGAACCGGTCGCCATTTTAACGACGTGCATTTCCTGCGGCTGAATTGCGAAGGGCGGAAAAGCAGCTTAAACGCGATGCCAACGAAGGTAACGAAGGAAAACAATGTGCATTTTTACAATCGGTGGATCGCATAACAATAAAAAGTAAAAAAAAAACGTGACGAAAACAAAAAGAAAACGTGTAAAAGCGAATGTGCGCGCCCCACCACCCACCATCAACCTCCTTGAAAGGTAACAAAGCATATGAAGTAACCGAAAATCGCGTGAAGACACCCTACGGTATCTACCCATTTTCTTCTTCTTTATCCTGTGTCGGGAACGATGAGTTTTCTCAAGTGCACACTTGACAATTTTGCTGCATAGATAACAAAATTTATTGAATATGTTGCGGAATATTCTTTTAACAGGGGCAACATTTTAATTTTTGAAGAGCGCATTCTCCCAACCACCACCAACCACCCCCCCCCCCCCCCCCCCTTCTTTCTATATAAGAGTCGATTGCTGATGGCTCAGCACAATGAGATAGGCTGCAAGTTCAATGTACAATGTTTTTTTTAGGTATTCGAGTTAGAGATGAGCGCGTGAAATTTATTTCTTTGTTTTTCCAATAAGATTTCATTCGTTTCATTATAACAGAGAATATATTTATTTTATAGGGCATATATAATATCATTTAAGGCCAGATATATATATGATGGCTTTTAAAGAATCTTCACTGAAGCTCCAATAATTCATAACTCTGACAAAATTCTTAATTTCAAGATTATGTTAATATTGCTTAGATATTTGCTTAGTTTTGCTTACATATGTTATTGAAAATCATGTGTTTGTATTAAGATTGGCATTCAGTTAGCATTAATTAATATATATAATATATGTAGACATATATATTATAGTTATGGACTTATATTTTATACCCGAATGAACTCAACGACCATAGGAGCATGTAGGCAATATTTACATCTCCCACTTCCACGAAAATTGATCTTAATTTTTGGTATATGCACTTTGGAAAATGCCATCTTTATAGTAGACAAATTTCACGAAGATAAAACGCTGTACATCGAAGTTATTTGGGAAGATTATCTTCAATAACTGGTGCTAAGATAAGAAGAAGCACACTCGTCGTGTCACGCGGCTAGCTCTAATACGATGATTGCTGGTGTATCTGTTGCTGTTGCAGCATGCACTGTTGCCAGCAGCAATTGTTATTGTTTCTGTTGCTGTTGTAATGCTGCAACACTCAGACAGGATTTGCGGCAAACAATACGCGCTCGCCATAATCGATTAAAAAGCGGCTGAAAAGGAACAACAACAGGCAACGGCAAAAGGAGACTGAGTGCCGGAGGGCTCAAAACTCTAGCTGAAACGGGGAGCTGGGGTTTAGCGCTCGCTTTGTTTGCTTTTTGCTTATGCTTTGTATGGCTGCAAGCTCAAAAATGTCACTCGAGTGACTTTTATTACATTGCGCCTCATGTCATCACACCCCTCACACACACACCCCTCACACACACACACACACGCCCCACCAAGTCAATGAGTTTGCTTGGGCCTAACCTCACACACTGCTGGACTATTTGCCCGCAAAATACTTGAGCCGATGCTTGGTGTCAGCATTTACCAGACAAGTGCCTCCGCATAGCACTGCGAGAGCAGGATGAGGGGCCGGGTTTCGGGTTTCGGGTCTTCCACTATGCGACTGAAGCATTTCTCGAGCACCACTTCACTTTTGCATCCTGCGACTTTGAGCAGGATGCGTTTATGCTCGCACTGCGTCAACTTGCCTTGGCGCTTAGCTGACTCAGCTATTGCCTGCTCTTTGTTTGGTCTAGTGGAAAATATGTAAACAATAAGCCCCATACAAGAATTGGGCAGCATCAGTTGGGCCAAATCTGTGACAGAATTTGTTTACACATATTATTTACCCGGTTTTAGTCATTAAATTGGCTGCTATTGAGTCGAATTCTGTTTTTCAAAGGATTTTACGACAAGAGCATGTGAAAGCATTTGTTTTTTTTTAGGCATGAAAAACTATCAATACTTTGTGTTGACTAACCATGTCCGAGATGGTATCGCATGCTTTAAAGCATCCTTTCATGTCATATTTCCAATTAAAAATTGAAAACGCTTCGGAATTTTATATACATTTGCTTGGTATTAACGAAACTTGCAGCTTTAAAAGTTTACTATATTATTTGCATGTCTCTTTTGTTTAGGTCTACAAGTTGGAAATGAGCTCATTTCCCGAGGTGTTCCAAGTTGAGAATAATTATAATTTCTGGAAGTCCAATGTTTGCATTCAACACATGAAATGTAGTGTTTTATTTTTCAAAAACAATAATAATCTACTTTACTGGGTTTCAAACGCGTACTAAACGTACCTTCACTTATGTTTTCAAGTACTTTTGTGTACTCATTTTTAATTTTAGACTCGCTTTTAATTTTTACATGACTGTAAACCTCTTGCACTGCTTTATAGCATGTAAACTGCTTGACGACTGTACATTTACCCAAGCTAAACTCCCTTTATAGCATAGCCTTTAACAGACAGGACTCGAAACGTCAAGCAGTTGCTGCAAGCTTTGCAGAAAGCTTTATAGCTATAATAAGCACATCATACATTTTCAAAAAACTTGAGCTTAAAGCTCTCTGAAGCGAAAGCGAGCTTTTGTATCCTGCTGTGGCCATTTGTTATTTGTCACATTTTCCGAAGCATTTGCATTTGTGTCGCTCGACTGACCCACTTCAAATTCGCCAAAGTGGTCAAATTATATTTTTGACAGCTTTGGAAAGGCACACAAAAACTTTTCGTTTGCACAAAACAACCCTTTTGAATAATTGTGGCTCGTTAGTTGCTGCCTCGGGCCGTATTAAATTCAATTACATGTCGTCAGGATTTGACTCGTGGCAGCAAAATCCACTCAAAGGAGTAAAAGTTTACTATGAATTTTTTGGCAAAAGCCAATGTTGCCCAGCCAACTACTTATAAATAAATAATGATTAAGCTAAGTGCCAGGATTCAAGGGTTAGTTAACTAGTGTATCCTTTTGCCAGGCAAGTCCTTTAGCGTCTGCTATCATGTGTGTGTGTGTGCCTGTGTGTGTTTCTTCCTGTCTGCTTAGCCCCCACAGGCTTAGCGCAAAGCACATCCTGCTGCTGTTTTGCATGCCAATGAGCTCCTGCTGCCGCTTCCGCCGGCTAAATGTCCTTGCTGCTGTAAACACACTCACACACACACACACGCACAGCTCATTTACTTTTGTAATTTGAGCCACTTTGGTGCCACGCCCACGTCGCACACACACTCCCACACATACAGCTTTTGTCACACCTTTTAATTAAGGAAATTACTTGCAGCTGGAGAGAATCCTGCCTGATGCTTACTCAGCCATATTTGTTGGATAAGTGTCTCTCCACTGTGGCAAGCAGCTGTCATTTGTTTCATTTTGGACTCGAAACTCTCAGTTGCGAGCGGTTGCAGTCTTTGTCCAACACGTCAGCACCCTGACCCCTGACCCCTGACCCCTGCCAACCGCTGCTGCCGCTGCTTCTGTTGTCCTTTTTTATGCTCTGTCAAGCACCTAATAAGCTGGCAAAACCACTGACAATTTGCGTCAGAGCACGGGCACGCCTGCACTTGATGTTTCCATCTTTTTAAACGCGCAGCACTCACACACACACATACACGCACACACGCACGCACACCAACCAGCGTTTACGTCATGTCTGCCATTCTATTCCATCATCTGTGTCATATGTGCATTAGCATTCGCGTTACCATGTGTCTGTGTGTGTGTGTGTCTGTGTGTGTGTGTCGCTGTGTGTGTGCGCACACAGACACCGGCTACAATGTTGCCTGTTTTTTAGGTCAACTTTATTTCCTCACGTTTTCTTTGCGTTTATTTTTTTTTATCAACGTCTTCGATCCCAACCACTTGAATTGTTGTCATTGCAATTAATCAGAAACTGTTTAAGGGAAGCCGCAAAAATAAGGTCAATTGGTTAAACTGTTCAATTTGATATGCACCATTTTATTCAGTTTAGATATATATGAGTGTTCGATTTTATAAGAACATAGTTTATATAGAGTCTTAAAGTTATACATTGCACAGATATATAATTATATAGCTATTTAAAGAATGTTTCTTACATAATTATGCAAAGATATAGCTTGATGGATAGCCGCTGGAAAAGTTGGAGATGTATAGTATGGTATATTCAGATTTGGTAATAGGGGAAAAAAGATACTCACAAAAGTTGTAAATCATATAATTGCACAGTAATAAAGTGAATGAAATTCAAGAGAAGTTGCCGATATAGTATACAATTTTCATATACATATATGAATGAAATCTATATATGTTATATATATTACATCTATAGAGATAGCTGATAGATTTGTTTAAGGAACGTAAGGCCAAAGTTCATGAAAACTATCAAAAATGAATATATTTTCGAGCTCTTAAGACTAGATATGTTTATTATCATCTAGCTTAAAAGCTTTAATGCGTTCAAATTCGAGGACAAACAGAATCATAATCAACTGCAATTTTTAATCGGATAAATCAAATGTATTTATATTTGGAAGTATCTATATAAAATATTTGATAGTATTCTTCCCAAAATAAGGAAAATTTGAGTATTGAACATATAACAATATTTATCATGAATTGTATGTATACTGATATAGTCATAGACACTTTCATAGCTTACTGATATTCTAACTTCGATTGAGGCCTATGAAAGAGATTTGGTTGGCTTTCAGTTTAAAGCTTGATTGCTCTATATATATATATATATATATATATATATTTGTACACATATAAACTTGTTTAGAACTGAATGTACAGGATTCTTGGCTTAATGCACATATCACATTGCAATTTCTGATTAGATTCTTATTCAGCTTTTGTTGCTGGTGCTTATCTTGCTATACAAAGGCCACAAAGGCCACATATAATAAAAACCACTTTGCCGTAATGCATATTAAATTGCAATCGGACCACAGAAACCAAACTCTA